CTTTCCCTCTTTTCTTTCTTTTAGCTAAACATTCTTTCTTTCTTTACTTTTCTTTTTTCCTGTCTTTTTCTCTTTTATCTATGTATTCTTTCTTTTTATTAACCTAGAGTTTCTTTCTTTTATGTACGCATTCATTCTTTCTTTCTTTCTTTCTTTCTTTCTTTCTTTCTTTCTTTCTTTCATCTACGCATTCTTTCTTTCTTTCTTTCTTTCTTTCTTTCTTTCATCTACGTATTCTTTCTTTTCTTTTTTCTTTCCGTTCTTACCACCTTTCTTTCTTTTTTTCCTTCTTTTATCTACGTACTCTTTTTTTCTTTTCTTTCTTTTATCTACGTATTCTTTTTTCTTTCTTTTCTTTCATTTCTTTCTTTCTTTTATTTACGTATGCTTCCTTTCTTTCTTTCTTCCTTTCTTTCTTTTCTTTCTTTCATTCTTTTCATTCTTTCCTTTTTTTTCTTTCTATTCTCTACGTATTCCTTCTTTTCTTTTTATCAATGCCGTAACATTAAACTATTTTTTTCAACCATTTATAATTCAAATGAGAGGAAACACAAGTTTTCCAGAAAAAAAAATGAATACAGACAAGGTTACAAATGGTTGCATGTAAACTAGGTCTTCATTTTTATCCTCACAACCCAAACACAATCGAGTCCAGAGTTAGTCTCGTCTTTGGAGCGTTAATCTGAATACATTACAACGCAACTTTTAAAGAACACTGAACACATCCTCCCCAGTGGACGACCGGAGAATCTATTGGCCTTAAAATTGTGCCAAAAAAACAAAAAAAAACAAAAAAACAAACAAAACACAACAACAACAACAATAACAACAACAACAAAAAGAAAAAAGAAAATGAGCAAATATTAAAAAAAAAAAAAATCTGAAAACGTATAGAATAATGAACATACTTAATCTCAGAGCATCAGTGAATAAAGGCTGAAGAATATATCGGCCGAATGTGAGACTAAAAACAATAAAGATGAGATAATACAAAAGGCTAAATAATGAAATTTTAAACAAGACAGAATGGTCGATATATATATTCAAGGACGGGGGTTAATCGGGGGTGGATAAAGAAATAGAACAAAAAACGTGAGAATGAATAAATATACTTTAATAAATTAAAGAAAACTTTGGATTAATAAAAATATTTGCAAGAATCAGTCGAATGCGAAAATAAACTAAATCTGATGCATCTTCTCCGATACTTACCAGCGGCATCATGTGGAAAATACAATTAGTCACAACGAGATATAACTGCACCCACAAAACCATTATTATTACTAGAAACTCAACTCCTCGTAGCAAGAAAGGATAATCTGTTGATTAAAGCAAGACACCGAAGATTAAAGAAATGGTTTTTAAACTTGTTTCAGAATCAGGATGCGACTTTATTAAAAGAGAAAAGTCGAGAGGTGCCGTCTTTCTCTAAATATCCATAATTTCGGCAATGAATAAGCAGACAGAAAACTCCGATGAAAAACTGTTTCATTGTAGCCTGTCACTTGCCATTATTCTCTCAACTGCTTTCTTGAATCGGTGAACATTGTGAACTGTCAGTAATATCTAACAAGCATCTTTCCCTTATTGCCTGCTTCCCTTCTTTGGAAGAAAGAAATGCTTACAACAACTCAAACAGCAGGACGTCACATGATTAGAGAGCAAGATTTGAAGCAGCCACGTATTTAACAAGATGACTCTTTCCTGGCTTCGTCAGAATAGAGGAAGAACACTTGAAATGCATCGATCATGTTATTCAATGGCTTCCTTAACAAAGATAAGAGGATCCTTTCCCTTCTAACCAGCCAATAGGGACCAAAAGCTTTCAAATTAGTTGAAAATTTAACTGTATGTGATGCCCAGATTTTGAACTAAACTCTGTCACGAAATGCAGCTGGTGGAAGATAATTCGTGAATAAACTCTCAGCTAAAACAAGACTGAGTCATTTATCAAACTATTGATATCGTCTTGTGATATTCATAAACTCGTATCACAAGGAATGCAACAAACAGGATTTTTAGCTTGTGTATTTGAAAAAAAAACTGTGTGAGGAATCAGAATATCAATCGAACGCACCCGAAAATATCTTGATGCTTTTCCTTTAAATGCAATTTGGAGATGCTCTCGGATGAGGTAGATACTTGTTGCTCAGAGCCTGAATTCAATGAAGATTGGCATCATCAGAAAACTTTAAAAATTGCAAAGTAAAGTAAGATAAAAAGTGGAGTTCAAAACGACTTTTAATTTAAGACGGACTTTCACATATAACCATCACATATAACCATATTTTCATCAGAATCTGTTTAAAGGAATTTGGTTTTGAGAAAATCATCTCGAAGTGTTTTCTTTTCGGTAATCGGTAATCTTTGAAGGAAGATTTTCTCGGCAAAAATCTTCCTTTCAAATGTGATTCAGAATATCATAGTACGAGATATCGTTACAAAAATATTTAGTAATGGATGGATGCCAGCTCACAAGCAAAAAAAACAAAAAAACAAACAAAATATTCTATTAATTTTATTGCGTTTTTGTCTTGTTAAACAAAAAGTTCTCGTAACCTCCTGACGTTGTTGGGATAATCGGAGGAAGCAGAGTTACACTTAATCCCAGGAAAATAGTCTTAAGATTAACCTAAGTCTTAAGATTAAAAGAAGTCGAATTACGTATTACTCTATTTTTTAAGGATGCCTTGGCCGGAGGGGAAGAAATATTGCAAATACGTTGCGTATTGCGAAAAGGTCTGAAAAGTACCTTTGTAAAAAGATACTTTTACGTCGCACAATCACTCACACACACACACACGCACGCACGCACACACACACACAAACACACATACATATATATATATATATATATATATATATATATATATTAGTATTACAGCGCAGCCGTATTTTAATTTGTAGAGGCATTGGGTAGGTGCCTGATTTATTTTACTTTGGTTTTCTCCTGTTGTTGTTTTTCAACTCTGGGCAGACCTTGTATTGGTAGGATTGTTACTAGACACTTTAGCGAAAACCTATTTAGTTTATTCCATTCACAAACACACACACACATACACGTATATATTTTTTTCTGTAATAATTTCTAATAATGTAATTTTCGTATTTAGGTATATTCGGCGGAAGATATTTTGTCAATTGGAGCCAGTTCCTTCAAAAGTCACTCTTGTAGGTAAATCAGCAGAAGATCTTAGTGTTAAAAACTAGAAGTTAGAACGGCTTTCATAATACTTTTCATGAACTTAATGTCGGTGTCGTCTTCTTTATTTTGAGGTGTACATGTTTTCTGAGATCGGATTGGATCGTGATAGAAGAAAAAAACATATTTTTTAAGACAGATTTTCACCTCATGTAAACATCCAAATAAACGACGTCTAGAGTTAAAAAAGAAACTCTTTTTTTTTTTTCATCATTGCGTCATTTCTTTGTTTTCCGAACATTCATATTTATATTTTTTCTCGTCTTCGAGTTTGTATTTAGATTGAAGTACTCAACAAAATTAGAAATACTACACATAAATCAAGGGGGTGGGGTTGATAGTTTTCAAACAGTAGCAGCAAGTTGGGCTTTAGAAATAATGGATGAATATCCAATAAACATATCTATATTGAGGCTAACATATATATATATATTAAGACATTTTTATGTTTATACATTCTTTTTATAGATACAAATATCTAAGTAAATGCTCTGTTTATAATAAACAGTGTTGAATAACATTTACCGGCCCGAATGTCCGAGAAATTTTCACAGAAAATATTCGTCCTGCGACAGGATTCGAACCTGTATCCTATACGGAACCGTCATTTAGCTTGACGCGCCTTAAACTTTGAACTGAGTTGACACGTGACAGAAGCCGGCCTTAAACAAATGCATTTTTCACTAAGAGCTTCAGTAAAAAGTAATGTTTCACCATCATGTTAAGTTATCATTAAATTAATTTTTGTCGCATTTCTATAAGGGTTACTTTATTTTTGAAAGATTTTTAATTGTACGGTGTACATTTTTCTGTCGACAGACATCAATTATGGTATAAAGTTAATTTGGGTCGCCAAAAGCTGGTATTGGAACACTTTCAAATCTGCTTTATGTATACACAAATAGTTTTTATATTTTTATTATTAAATTAAAGCTCTATTTTTGCTATCTAAACCAAAACTTCAACTGTAAGAAAATATTCAAATTATTGTAATACGATGTTAAAATTTTATACAAAAAATTTGTATTCCTTCTTGCAATTTGTAATGTTAGAGGAAATGGGAAATATCTACATTATATCATTTTATATATACAAATATTGAAGTTATGTATGCAAAGCATGAAAGGTGAACTTGATATACATCTTTAGATATAAACAAAAACTTACATAGCGTGGTATGTTTTGTGTTTTACAAAGCAACGGACACTGGTATTTATATATATATAGATTATGTTGATTGATCTTATAATTGAGGAACTCATCGAGACATGTTGCTGGTTTCTTTATGGCATCTCTACGTCCCTTTGACATGTTGTTTGCTCTAAGTCTTCCCTCCAAGTAACATGGAATAGGCAGTTTTCTTACACGATATCAATAACGAGGAAAGGCTACTGACTTGACGGAGTTCTCTCCTCCGTCAACTATTGTGACATACCAATAACAAGAACTTCGTCAAGACAACTGGCGCTGGGGCAGAGCGCCAAGAGAAATGGAGTCATTCCTTCAACTTTCTAAATAATTACGGACAGAAGTTGAATTTGGTTTAACGATTACATCGTAACGCTTACTCGCATGTCATGGCATTATGTGCTGTGAGTATAAAATATTTATTACGAAATGCTTAAATTGAAATGTTTATAAAAAAATGGAGAGAAAACAAGAGAGAAAGAGATAAAGAGAAAAGAGAAAGTTAAGTGCTTATATAAGAATCATTTTGGGAAAGATCTTTATAATCAATTAAATACATATGAAAGAATGTTTAAATATATACGGATGTTTTGGCTACAGTAAAGATTGTTTTAAAGACAGTAAACATTCAAATTAAACGAATAGAAAGAGAAACAAAAATAACAAAATTCTCGTATTGTACTTCTCAGTTGCTTTACAATTTTTTACTATGCTTTCCACGGTCTGTTAGAAAAGACTGAAGTTTCTTATAGAGATATGTATTTAAAAACAGTCACTTATAGAAACGGTCATTGATAAAAAGGCTTTCTTATAAAGACATTTTTTAAAAACAGTCACTTATAGAAACGGTCATTGATAAAAACGTTTTCTTATAAAGACATGTATTTAAAAACAGTTTACTTATACAAACGGTCATTGATAAAAACGCTTCCTTATAAAGACATATTTTTTTAAAAACGGTCACTTATAGAAATGGTCACGGATAAAAATGGTTTCTTATAAAGATGTGTATATAAAAAGGGTTACTCATCAAAGTACAGAAAGACTCGATATTTGCAAGTGTCCAGTTTACAATATTCATTGCTTTCAGTGTGATTTTTTCATAAACTTTCT